CTGAGACAACGTGGGTTCAAATCTTAGCTCCCATCACTTACTCAAGGGCATGACCTTAAATAAGTATATTAACCTCTCTGACACTTGGATTCTGCATTAGAAAACAGAAATGAGAGTAGTACCTTTCTCATTGCTTAGTAGTGAGGATTCAATGCAAAAATTGTGTACAGAGTCAAAGAAGCCTACTGTCATCGATAGACAATAAAGTGGTGACAGTTATTATTGTACCCTGCTTACTTTCAAATAGGAATTTGGAGCAACTTACAGCAAAACAGTGTGGGGATACTAAATCTTAGCTCTGAATAAGAATTCGTCAAAAGCCAAATGTCAAATTGGGGAAAATATTTGCAAAGTATAAGACAAAAAAGTAATATTCTTCATTTACAAAGAGCTCATAGAAATGAAATTGGCAAAGGAGTAAAGCCAGGCAGTTCACACAGAAGGCAATATAAATGGTCAGTAAACATTAGAAAACATGTCTAACCTTACTCATAACAAGAAGAAAACCATGCTAATCAAAACAAGATCCAATTTTTCACCTACCAGTTCATCGTAATTTCTAAATTGAGTGATATCCAACCTGGGTGAGGATATGGGATAACAGATACTCTTTTACAATATGTATATAAAATTATACTTCCACTCTCAGTATGTGTGTGTGTATATATGTGTGATGTATGTGTGTGTACATATGTGTGTGTTATGTACATACATAACTTGCACAGACACATACTGAGAGTGGAAGTATAATTGATACAGCCCTCTTGGAAGACAGTTTGTCAGTGTTTCAGTATTTTATATGTTGATAGCTTTGACTCACCAATTCTGCTGCTAGGAATTTGCCATAAGACTGTGCATGCAGAAGTGTAGCCAGGCCAGAAATAAAGGTATACATGCCAGAATACGTGTAGGTGGATATTCATTGCAGCATTGTTTCTAATAGCAAAAACCAAACAACCAAAAACTGAAAACCACCTAAAATACCCATGATTGGAACATTAGTTAAATTATAATAAATGAGTTCAATGAAATTCTAGATAGCCACTTTAAAAAGAAGAAGAAGAAGAACTGTGTGCTGATATAGAAAGGTATAGTAGAGAATATTTGTGTATGTGTATGTATGTGTGTGTGTATATATATATTTCTTCCCCTCATCTGTAAATATACACAAGATACTTAGTAGATTTTTTTGCCCCTTTGAAGAGATGAAAAGGGTAGTGAGAAGACTATGGGAAATGAAAAACATTAGTGCATGCTTAATAAATATTTGTCGAGGACATTTATACCTTTTTGTATTCTTTGGTTTTTACCACATGCATCCATTGCTTTTATTTTAAAATCTTTGGTGGAGGATAGAGAGAATCAATAATAAAACAGTGAAAGAAATTGCTTCCTCTGGTTGAGCGTAAACTCATCTTTGAGCTTCCTTGTAGCCAAGGCAAAGAAGGAACCCAGATAAAAAGCACAAAAAATTCATCAAGAAAGAGAAGCATTTTCCTGATACCGATCTCTAAAGAAATTCAGCTGCCAAGGATTGGTCTAAACTCATGTCTAATCTTGTCCCTCTCAAGCTTAAAATTCATCGATAGATCCTTGTCAACTTTTCTCTATGATGCAGCCTTTCCACACCCGACTGACCTCTCCTCCCCCATGTATATGTGACACTCCATCCAACTGGCCTTTACATGTATTGTTCCTTCTGCCTGGAGTGCTCTCTCTTCTCTACCTAATTGTCAGCTATGACTGTTACATTTTGTTTTAAGATTTTCAATTGTTTGTTACCACCAGTGGGTATTCTTATAGGTCCTCTGTGCTCCCCAGACCCCTCTGCCTACCTCAGTGATGGAACTTGTCACACTGCACTGTGATGATTGTTTTGTTGTCCCCACTAAACAAGGAGCTCCTTAAGGTTAGGGATACTATGTTGTTTGGGGGCCCTGATCACCAAGTGCTTGCCAGGCACAGAGATAAATAGTCAGTAAATGACTGAGTGAGTAATCTGAAGTTTGAGTTCTACTTCTTTCACTAATTAGCTGTGTGGACAAGACACTTTCTGGGCCTTGATTTTTCCATCTATACAATAAAAGATTTGGCCCAGATAATCTATGAGAACTCTCTGGCTGATTTTTTTTTCTTCCTCTGTGGTTGTCAGATTGTCATATATATACATGGAGGCTGTTGCCAGTTGTCATGCAGAGTAATTTCAAAGTTTCAGAACTAAGCTTGTTAAAATTCACTGCATTTATTATGGCCTGTCCCACATTGTTCACCACCTGAAGAGGTCAGAGCCACATCCAGTGGCTTGGCCCGAGATTGCAGAACTGATTATGTCTCCCGCTCTTCCTTCCTCTGATCTTCTCTCCTGGACATACACAGAGGTCACAGGACTTTGCCTGACATGAGCCTCCAAAGACGTCCCTTGCTTACTCTACTTTCTCACCCTGAGCTAAGCTGTCTTGATTCACTGCCCTTACCCTGGGTTCATGATGTGTTTTGCCTTCCTGTGAAGATAGGTCTTGTTCTGGGCACTCTCCAGTTTGTACCTTCATCTCATCCTGCTCCTGCTCCCTGCCCTTTCCTTTTGTTCAGGATGGAGGTTATACCACCTCAATCCCAGCTTCACAACAAAAGTTAAAAGAAGGATATTGAGGTGAACCTGGGGTCTTGAGAGGGTAAATAATATCTCTGTCCATAGCATATTTTAAGAAAAACTTTGTACTTAAAAAAATTGTATCTACTGATTAGAGATATTTTATTGAAACTGATGGCTCCCTAAGAAAAAGCCATCTCCTTACTCCCAAATGCAAAATATCTTTAAGGACCATTTGGTAACTGATAGTTGGAGAGCATACTACCAATGCAAAGATGCTGAACCTAGGATATGCATTATATACTAAAAGGTGAAAGCTATTCAGAGGTATTTGAAAAATACCTAGAATTCAAGAGTGGTTTGTTTGTCCTGCCCCACCCCATGCCCCACCACCCAAAAGTTGTATTGAGAGCCTGTTTTCTTCCCATTCATTCATCAAGTATTTCCAAAACACCGACTATATGCCAGGCATCATGGGACCAGGGATATACCAATGAACAAAGCAGAGTAAAATTCCTGCCTTCAAGAAGCTTTTTTCTAATTGAAGGGAGGCAGTGAACAAAACAAATAAGTAAATTATACAGTATTTGAGAAGATAATGCATGCTGAAGAGTAAAATAAAGCAGATAAGACTTGGTGGTGTTGGGGCATTGCATTTTTAAACAGGGTGGTTGAGGAAAATCCTTACTGAGAAGATGACAGTTGAGTAAAACTAGACTTGAAGACTGAGCCATGCATATACTCTGGTGAGGGGCATTTCAGGCAGGGGAAAGAGCGAGTACAGAGGCTCCAGCGCAGGAGCCTGCCTGACGTTAGAAACAGCACTTAGTCTGAGTGAGTTGAGGAGTCATTGGAGGGTTTTACCCAGGGGAATGACAGGACCTGACTTAGGTTTTCTGGCTGCTCTATGGAGATTAGGCCAGAGGAGGCAAGGGTGAAAATGGAGAGACCCACAGTAGGCTGTTGAATATTCCAAGCAAGAGATGATGGTGGTGTGGACCAGAGTAATGGCAGTGGGGACAGTAGTAAGAGGAGATAGAATTCTGAATGTAATTTAAAGCTGACAGGTCTTCTGTGGGACATGTGAGAAAGATGAGAATCAAGGATATCGCCACTGTTTTTGGCTTGAGAATCTGGAAAACCTGGTTGCCATTAACTCAGTGGAAAAGATGGTGGGGAACAGGTTTGAGAAGGAAGGTTAGGAGCTTGGTTTTGGACTTGTGGAGTTTAAAGGACCTGTTAGACAACCAAGTGGAGAGAGCAGATAGACAGATGAATGCATGAATCCATGTTCAGAGAATAGAACTGGCCTATAGACACACGTTTGAGAGCTGTCAGCATGTGTAAGTGGTTTTTAAAGCTGTGGGACTAGGGAGGTGACGGAAGATAGAAAATAGAAGTCTAAGGGCGGAATAGCTCTAGCATTAAGAGATTAGAGAAATGAAGTGGGGGGAAATGCTTCTGATATAAGTGAGGAGAAAAACAAATACAAAATTATATCTGTGCTACCATAAGAATGCTTACTTGTGGCTTTAACAGTCAAGTGACTTTTTTGAGACTTCAAGGGAACTTTGGCATATGGCGATGTTCTTCAGTCAGTTTTCAAATAGAATATTTGTTGCCCATGCTCTGGGCATCTTATTTCAAAATAAACTTTACTCTGCCATTTCTCCTTGGCTAGACTTCTGCCATCTCCTTTTCAAGGTCATTATTCTTGATTTTTAAAAATTCTTTTTAAAGAAAAGAATCTCTTTACAGCTGAAACGTGTAGTAAACCCTTCAATTACTCTCTTCTTTTCTGGGTAGAAAAAATAGTATCTCATAATAGAAGCCCACAGGTTATGTGAACTTAAAAAAACATTGTTACCATTTTGAAGTACTTACTGATCAGCTGCTTTTAAACTTGAAGGGGTTCTAGCTGCACCAGAATGTAAATGCTAGCACTGGGACCTCATCATATTTCTTACTTAATTCTGGGATACTTACTTGGGAAGGTTATAAGGTAATTTGAGAGTATGATAGAACATGTCTTATTTGTTCATTATGCATGTGTATGGCTAGTATTCATACTCTATTCACAGGTTATTTCTGTAAATGGGGGGATTCGTTTGCGGTGCTCTTGTGGACAATGAAAATCAATTAATTCTAGGCAGAATAGAAATTCTATCTTTCAATTCACTTGCTCAAGTTGTCCTTGAGGATATCGTCCCTTTTGAATATGTTTCTTGTGCCCGATGTGAAAGTCAGTTCAGTGTTCCATTGACAGTTTAGGTTCTTGTCTTATTAATCAATAGCAGCAGTCAGGGAAGGCCTGCTTATTCCTCCTTCAATAGAACCAGACCAGGCTTGAAGAGAGGTAATAATTACTGCTCTGATCACAGCGTGTTCTCTTTTCTCCTTCTCAACCCAGAGCATGTCTGTTCGATCCTGGCTTCCCTCCTGCGGAACCTGAGAGGGCAGCAGCGAACTCGGCTTCTGAATAAATTCACTGAAAATGACAGTGAGAAGGTAGGTGCTTGTTGGACTGTAAAGATGGGACCAGGACCAGCGAGGATAAAAGGACTCTATCTAATGCGATCTGAGGGGTGCTGGGTTGAGAGTTCCTGTCCTAAAATATCTCCTCCAGCATCTGGGCCCCGTTGCTGTGGCTCTCAGAGGTTTCTCTGGTTATTCTGTCTCTCGTCTTCAAATGCATTCCCCTGGAAGTAGTAAAACCTCAGGTCGGTATCAACTAGCACTTTGGGGGGATTTTTAGACCCAATGAGAGTGGATTATGATAGGATTTTGGTTGGGGGAGAGGGAGCTTGCACAGCCTAACAAATGAATGAGAGCATAGGCTTTGGATTCACATGTCTGGATTTGAACCTGGTTTTGCTACTTTCAAGATGTGTGCCACTCCGAGCCTTACTTTCCCTGGCTTTAAAATGGAGATGTTAATACCCATTTTGAAGAGTCAATGAGAGGAAGATTAAGTGAAGTCTTATTAGGTGGTGTTGATGGTAGTGATGATGAAAATGACATGATGATAGAAAATGGTAGAGCCTGCCCTAGATGGGCTACAGAACATGCAAATGATCGTGTAAACGAGATTAGATATTTTGCGTTGTTTTCTACAGTACCAAACCATAAGTTTTTTTTTTCACTTTTCAGTTTTATTAGGTAGAATTGCCAAACCATAGGATTTTTTAACAGTAATAAGAACTATGATTTATTGAGTGACTACTGTGGATTGGGTACTACAGTATTATTCACATTTACGGATAAGGAAATTGAAGCTAAGAGACATTCTGTGACTTGCCCAAGGTCATACCAGTAACAAGAAGCAGAGCTAGGATTTGAACCCAGGCTGCCTGAGTCCAGAAAACCCATGTATTTTATCACACTAAACATAAGTAGATAGTTCAGATGAATAAAATTAAGAACCAAAGCCCTCTTTTTAACTTAAAATAATTTCTTTCCTTCCCTTGTCCAAGGTGAGGCTGAAATGTTTTCCTACTTTGGAGAGACATTTAAGACTATCTCTTTGAGCCTACCTGTAACCATTTTTTCTACCCTCACTATAATATAGCATGGTGAAGAGGCCATCAGGTTAGAGTTTGAAAGGAGTGTGAGCAGATAGACCTCTATCTTAAAAGCCAAAGAATCTCGTCCTGAGTTCCATGTGCTGATGTTAGGTGTCCATAAAGAACCTAAAATGTTATATATTTTGTCTACGTGTATGTACTTTTATGAGGGGAGGAGACAAGGGTACAAAACTGTGATGAGCTTTTCAAAGACATTCTTTTTGTTTGTTTTTTGGTTTTTGTTTTTGTTTTATTTTTATTTTTTTCATTTCGAAGACATTCTTGACCCCAAATATTTTGAATCCATCTCTGTAGGATCATTAAGATGAGGAGGAAAAGACCAAGTCAGTGCTTTAGAAATTCTTAACATGCAGTGAAATCAATTGCTCCCATGTGATTAACATGAATAAATTCAGTTGTTTAAAAAAAGTGAGAGAGAGGCCATCAGGTTAGGAGGCAGAACATCTTAGCAATCATGTCACCCTGGTGACATCATCTAATGTCTGTTCTTCAGTTTCCTCATCTTTAAAATTAGGATTGCTGTCTGTCTTCCCTGCCTACCTTACCAAGTTTTTCTAAAGTTTAAAAAAAATGATGGATATGAGAATACTTTGTAAACTGAAGTATATAAGATCTTAGGGTCATCATTGTTACCCAGGGAAGATTTGGGCACAGCCTTCCTGGACTGTCTGATGCCAGGTTGAAGCAACATCTGCTGTTAATCAGCATCAGCTCCTGGGGAAATACCAGGGTTGCCAAGTTCCATGGTGGTGCCAGCCTGGTAAAAAAGATAGTGTTCTTTCAATCTTTTGGAAATCTTGGGGGGGAATAAATGGAACTTTTTCAAACCTGCTGAGTTGTTCCTCAGGCCACGTTTGAAGTTTAAAACTGATTTTTAGGTTATTGCTAAGCAAAAGTCAGGGCCTTTTTTTACTTGCTGAAGGAGTTTTTCTTGCACTCTCTTCTGACTCAAAAGCAACGAAAGAGATTTTACTCAGACGTTTTTAAAAAAAGATCAGCTCTGGGGCAGAATCTGAACATGAAAGGTTTCAGTTTGAAAAAAGAAATTTCTGTAAAGTTCTAAGTGAATATCAAGTATGTAACTTCAGGCTCCTTCTCTTTGTAAGAAGGGACTTGAATTTTTATTTATTTGTTTGTTTGTAACAACTTGAATTCATGGGAATCCTTGAAGGGCTAGGAATGCGTAGTGTCCTTTGGAAATGGGTCTGTGTTCAAACTGCCTCCATGCCAAGTGTTTGCTTTGTTCTGCCCCAGCCCTTTGATCCCTTCCTGCGTGGTCCTAAGCAAAGCTCAGATCCAGGGCAAGAAGTGGTAGAGCGGCTCTTGCTTTGTCAGGGGTGACAGGGAGATGAATAGGAGCTCTGCTCTTCTCTTGCCTTGATATTCTCTTTCCTTTTCACTCACGCCTGTGAAATCTCTCTCTTTCAGGTCGACAGATTGATGGAATTGCATTTTAAATATCTGGATGCAATGCAGGTGGCCGACAAGAAGATTGAAGGAGAGAAACATGTATGTATCCCTGCCTATCTTTTGCCAACTATTGCTTCGCGCTCCATTTTGGTCCCTTGTGCACCTTCTGTCTCCCCACAGGACAGACAGGGGCAGGGGTGCCATCCACCTTCATGTGCCACCTAACATACTGTAAGAGCAGAACAGTTGACAGTCCGCCAGTGGTTATAACTGCTCTTCTAATGGGTGTGAAGTCCCTTAGGAGGATGGATTGTACGATTGATCCAAGTCTCACCGGGAGACTGAGTGATAGCACAAGTACCCTTGACGAGAGCTTCTCTTCGAAAATCTGACCACAGTACAGTGCTGTGACTTGGTAGTGTGTTGGCAGAGTGTGTCTTGCTGGCTTCTGTAGTCCTGGGGAAGCACTGGCAGGAACAGTGGTTACGGGGATAAGAGCTACAAGGGCACTGGGAGTCACTGAATCCAGGTGACACTTGGAGACCTAGAGAAGAGATGCTGAGTGCATTGTGGCAAAGCCTGCACACCAGTTTCAAAGTGACTGACCCGCATTGTCTTGTGCTGATCGTTGCTGAGGGAAATGAAACCTGCTGGATGTTTTTTCTTGCGGGGCCGTACTTACCTAGGGGGTTATCCTTCCTCCTGTATTTTTCACCTGCTTCTGTTTTGCCCTCTACCATCTCTGGCCTGTGCAGCTTTCTCATCTGTCTCTTTAATCAGGGCAGGTTTTTGTGTCTGTTGGTTAATGTCCGATATGTATTCTCTTCCCTACAAGACATTCCTCAGTCTTTGGTCACACTGCAAAATGATCCTTTTCTTGCTTTTTTCAAAGACTGTAGTAGGCTCATTTTCCTTGTGATCTTGATTTGCTGTATCACCTTCTTTTTGCTTTTGAACCTCACTGGTGGGAGAGCCCATTCCAGCACCCCCTCCCATCTGTGATGGGGCAGTCCAGCCATGCAGAAGAGCTGTGTGTATGGGCATTACCCTAGCATCTTGCCTCAGGCCTCAGGCCAGGGTGAAAAACTAGAGCCTAGGGGAAAGACAGTGATCTTGTTGTCTTTGCCCTGTTTCTCTTCATCCCGTCTCATCCATCCATCCCCTTTCCCAAAATAAACCTCCATTTATGAATACCAGTAGAGGGGTGACCGTGTTTATCACTCTTGTGATTTCCCTTTGCTCCCTAAACCTAGTGAGTCCTCAGATGTTTGTTGATTGATTGAATTGATTGACTGGGACTTTCTTGTTTTATATGGTGATACTACAAGGTAAATGGCAGACTCTAAATTCTGAGGCTGGACTTCAGATACTAGCATGTTCCACACACAGTCCTTTCATTCCACACACTTCACCCTCTTTATTTTATTGTTTGATTAAACTTTCCTTTTTCATCTTTTCTTCTCTTTATGGTAACTTGTACATGGTGGACACTTAGTGATTGTTAAAATGCCAGAGTAATATATTCTTTCTCTTTGTCTGAATGATAGTTAGAAACAAATTGAACTTTCCCTAGACTTTCATAGGGAAACAGCCATGAGACAATTAGAACTCCAGCTCTAACAGAATCCCCCATGTTACCTGCTGAAGGAGCTTTTCAGGGGTGGTAGAGGAAGCATCTGGAGTCAGAGAAACTAGAATTGTAATGCAGGCACCACCTCTAAATCACTGCCCAGCCATACCTTGTCACCGTGCCTCAGGTAGCTCCAGTCTCTTAGCTATAACGTGGTTATCAGTAAAGTCCAAAGTCAATTTCTCAAATCTCCTCAGCTTGACATTTTCCCTGAGGTTCGGATGAACGCACTTTGGTAACTCTGCCATTTTTTGAAAATGGAATGGATTAAAAGCGCAGTGAGAGGTTGGTCAGCAACTGTCTTTTGTGGAGAGCAGCAGCAGCCAGGTAGAAAAGGTGCGCGGGAGGTAGGGGTCGGATAAGCCTGGATTTGAATTTGAACTCTGCCATTTCCTAGCTCTGAGACCTTGGATAAATGAGTTGACCTCTCTGAGCTTTGGTAAAATGGAAATGACACCTCTCTTTCAGTGCTGTTAGAAGACTGAGCTCTAAGTATGTGAAGTACCTTGCTCAGTAAGTAAAAGCTGCTGCTGTAGCTAGCTCTTCCTAGCTTCCTTAGGAATTCTTCTGTAACTTTTAAGCCAGGCAGTCCTTTTCCTGAGAGCATCCTCCTTGCCAGATATCCCAGGAGTTGTCTTAGCAGACCAGGGCATTGGCACCATCAGGTACTTCTTTTGAGGTGAAGCTGAAATAGGCTTTGTTTTGGGGGGTTGCTTTGTTTTGTTTGAGGGAGACCAGAATAAGCTGTTGGGGGTCAGGAAGCAGCTTTCGTGTAGCCGTTAGGAAACCTGGCCTGCTTCCCACAATATTATCTATTATCAGCATTGAAAGGGTGTGAAACTGATTAGGAATGACGAGAGAGATCTCTGCAGCCACTCTCCCCAGCTTTCACGGTGCCTCCGTGTGCCACAGGCACAGGGCCCCTGCCGTGCCCTGACAAACATCTGTCTCCTTGATGCCAAGGCCGTTTTGCTGGGCACTGGCAAACATTCAGGGCCATTAGTGCTCAGCAGCCTCAGTGTTGCTCAGAGAGTCAGGGCGGGGTGGGAGTGAGGGATGCATTTGTGAGCGGTGCTCCATGCCAGCATGCAGGCTCCGCCCTGCCAGATGAAGCCGCCTCACAGGCCTGAAGTGACTTGGAACAAAACCACCTCTTTTTTGTCTCTCCTTTATGCAGTCTTCTCTCCTAAGTCATAAACAATTTGTCACCTCACCCTATCCGACCTCCATTAAACTTGGATGTCCAACACCCATTGGGAACCTCAGAAAATATTTGTTGACTTGAATTGAATGCTTATTTCTCAGGCATTTGATGACATTGACTATCAGATCAGTAATGACTAAATATCTCATATACTTTGCCAAGTCTGCAACAACAAAACCTTAAATAACAGGGTCAGGTATTGACGTTTTTAGTGTCTCACAGCCACCATCTTCCCTACAAACTTCAGACTTCCGTGGGCACAGTACAGGTG